TCGGTTCATGTTCGAATGTGCGCCGGATTCTTTAGAAGCAAATTTGTTAGTCACAGCTCATAAGCCGGAATATCAATTAAGCACAGTCGATGACTCATGAGTGTTTACATGCTTTATTTATTTCAATTAAATACACGGCCTCCAGAATTTATGCTTAAAATTCAACTTTACGTGTTGACCACATAATCAAGACCTCATAATTCCCTTCTTCTATTAAAAGTGAACTGATTGAAGTATGGATTCTGGTGACCGGTGAGGCAAAAGATATGTATTGAGCTTTCTTGAGTTAAGATGTAGCTTGACCTATCTAAAGCATGGGCCAGTTTTTTCTGCCTCAAGTTTTCAATTAGAAAACCTTGCCCAAATTCAGTGTGCATTTTGTTTGCCCTTTCTCTGTATATAGTTGAAAATGACTCATCCATAATTTTTGCTAACAAGTAATGTTAGGAGAAGTCTAGTTAAACATGATACCAAAGTATTGATCGGGCAGTAGATTATTTGCGATAATTTTTTGACAAAAAAAAATGTTGTAGCAATATTTTTTTTATGTGACATATGGGAATTAAAAAAATGATTGAAAAATATATTTATGGCGCAAGCAAATAAATTTGTGCAAATAATTCACTATCTAATTATATTTAATTCTAACATTGAGTATGATTTCATCACTTTTTGAATAACTAAAACACTCAAAAATTAGGTTCCTAATTTAGCTAAACATATATCAATTGCCATGGAGATCTCACTCACAATTATTACTATTTTTTTTCGTGTCTGAAGGCTAATCCCCCAGGTTGGGCAGAGCTTTGCCCCAAATATACTCAACAATGGTAGCACGTGGGGGTCGAATCTGGAATCTTACTGTAATTACATACGACCAGTCCCAACCGAGCTATCCATGGGGGCCACAATTTTTACTATTAAAATATGTGTTTTATAACTGTAACTCATTTTAGAAATCCTATGTAGTAGGGGTGTGCAAAATAAATAAAATAATATTTTTTTCTTAATAAATAATAAAATATTAAGGATATATACGTAATTTTACTATGAAAATAAAAAATAAATATATATAATATATTTAATTTTATTATTAAATATATATATATATATATATATATATATATATATATATATATATATATATATATATATATATATACCCAAGCTTGCGAGCCGGCTCACGAGTTAACGAGATTAATATTTTGAGTTCGAGCTCGAGCTCGAGTTTGACTCGACCCGCTCGCGAGAGGCTCGATTCGTTTGCAACCCTACCTATTATGTAGACACAAGTCACAGCAGGTAGCTAGAGAAATAAATGTATATAAAATTTGTAAGGATTTTTCTTTTTTTAAGAGTGAAACTAATATATATGAGAAAAATGTCTAAATATAGGAGAGGAATAAATGGGAGCAGGCTGCGCATTATGTACTTGCATGATAGAGGTTAGATATACTTTTAGAACAAAAAAAAAATTAATTGTAAAGCTCCATATTGACAACTGTGCTTTTACATACACGTAATGACCGCATAACCTCCGTGTGTTAGCTGTTTCTATGGTTACTTGAGTTTCAACTTTCAAGCAGAGAGACAAATGTAGGCAATTCAATGCCACAGAGGATAGGATGGAGTATTTTGGGCAACTCAGCAACAACCAACAAAGGCCATTTGGCAATTAAAGCTGGTGCCTACATACCTTCTGTTGGCCAGCTTTTTCTCTAAATGTTACTTAGTAGTTAAAAGTAGCAAGGGAGCGAGTGGAGAGTAGAGAGGATGCCGTCTGACTCGCTTCCTTTGGCGGCAAGCAATTTGGTAGCGCCGCCCCCCAAATGGCCATCGAACCGGGGCCGGCGTTGTTTCCCCGCAATTTTATTCGCTTGTCCTCTCAGTTATATAGAATTATAGATCATCAAGCTAATGCGCCTGCTTTCCCGCATCAATCACCAAAGTAGCCTTCTCCAAAATGAAGATTAATGTCTCAATAACCATACTTGAGATTTCTGTATTATCTGTTGCTTGTATTTTGTGTCTTTGTCCGTCTTTCTAATAACTAAAAACAAAACATGATTTTCATGAACCCTTTTTTTTTAATTTCTTTCTGAGTTAATTTTAGAATTTGATTTAGTGGGGGTAAATATTAAATTTCCAACAACAATTACTTAATAATGCTACAGTCCCATTTGGGATTGCGATACATTTGCCCCAAAAAAATGTTTTTAAATATTAAAAATATTTTTAAGGTGCTTGATAACTAACTTCATGTAAGTTAAGCAACTCGATTTTTGATAATTTAAAAGTACTTTTATTAAGAACACTTTATGTCGGGAGTGATTCTTGATAAATCACTACAACAACCCAAATAAAGTGTAAGAGTATGGGAAAGTGTTGAAGTAAAAACATACTAGTAACGCACTAGTGATTGCCACCTTCGTGGTTATTATATGGATGACAGCGAATTGCTACCTGCAGAGTGTTTGGATAGCAAATTATTTCAAATAATATTTCACCTACATTAGAAACACATTTTTTAATTTATCTTTCTATTTTTCTAATCATTTTTTTATCTCACATATATCATATCACAAAAAATGTTACAGTAATTATTTCAAATAATACTCTATCCAAACAAACGTATAATAAAATTTGACAAGCAAGTACTATATCAATGAAACAAGTGTGTCAATCAAACAAGTAAAAACTTTCCAAGTTTAGCTTGTATTTCAAGTGAAAAGGAAGATCTGAGTGGTTTTGTATCTTGTGAAAATGAATTAGTATGTTTTCACAAAACCAAATAAAAGGGGTCTTTTTGTTTAGTTGCTTTGAAATGTGCTTTTGATTTTTGTTTTTTGGTTTGGGTATTATTGTAATTGGCAGCCAGGGTAGCTAATGGAGAGTAACCGACGCAGCTTGATCATGATTCCATCCTAATCTCCGAAAACAAAGAATCTCCATAGAAACTTTTTCTGAGAAAGAAACTGCGCGAGAAATTTCCAAGTACTTGCATGGTCAATTCTCTCATGTTAGCATTTCAACTGAACATCCCCCTAGTTTCTCGTAGAAAGAATATGATCTTTTTCTTTATCTCTTTGGACTATGGACTCTTTCTCCCTCCAATCATTTGCTAATCTTTATCCTCAACCCTTTTACACCTCAAAAAGGCCTAAATACATAAAAGGGGATAATTATTCAGGTTAAAAAAATAGATATTAATTTTTGGCACACATTACGGTCAATTAACATATTAAGCTAAACCTACTATATCATATATATATGTATATATCTATATATATGTTTTTTTCTTGGCCTAAGAAAAAACAAAATGCTCATCAATTGTTGAAAAAACAAATTGTCCAGCAATTGACTTGATTGGATTTTGTTAGGACAAATATGTCAATAACCTAAATACTAAATCAGAAATATCATCAAACCTTGAGATCTGGAACATAGAAAATGAAAAGCTTGATCCTCCACGGTTTGTCTTACTCTTCTTCCATTCCCACTCTCACATATCGCATTTGTGATCCCCGACGGTTTGGCAATTTCACTTGGCTCCCTTGAGATTTACACAATTATAGAGATCTCTCTTATTGTGATAAAAAGACAAGAATGCCATTTATTAATTGTCAACTCATTGAAAAACTCTATCAAATATTAAAATTTTGTCATCTATTATTAACCAATAATTCAAACCACAGTCTTTTTTATTTAATTATCTATTCTCTTCCTTATATATCTATTTTTCTTTTGAACTCATTTATTTATTATTATCAACCAAATGTGTACTCTCACTACTAATAAAATAGCCATCACATTAAACCACGAATACTTATATATTTTGGTATCTATTCCCAATTCTCGATTTTCCATTATTAGTAATTAGTTTCCTTGCGCCCATTTTTGTTTCTAATTTTTTATAGGTATTAGCAAATTGAAATTGTCAATTGACAAATGGAGTGTTAATTTCATTATCAAATTAGATGGATATGAAGATAGTGACAGTGATAAAACAAAATAAAAATTAAGGATAAGAAGTGGAATAGGAACTAAATATAGGTTATACTGTTTTGGTTATCATGAAAAAGTGTTTTTGGTATATATTTATAACTACATTGTGTTTATATTTTTTATTTACAATTATTGATATTATTCTTATAGAGAGAATTTGATTGATTTTGAACTCTATACCAAGGGAATATATTGGATATTGATATTAGTAGTGATTGTTTGGATTATTTTGTATTAAAAAGATGGCAACCATGGAATTGAAATTTAAGGATATTGATGAATATTGTAGTATATTAAGTAAAATCTGATATTGTTATGAAATTGTAGATAAATTTTTGGGTATATGATATAGTATTTATAGTTGATGCAATGGTTTGCATCATAAATTTTTAGGTAAAAAAGGAACATTAGAATAAAGATAAATGTTTATTTAGTGGATGGATGTTGATAAGTAGGTAATAATAGTAGGAAATAAATATAAATGAAATAGAGACTGTAAACCATTTTTTCCTTTACATTTTTTGTTGTGAATTATAACTCAAGGGCATTATAGAAATTTTGAAAAAAGTATAGCCTTTGGAGTCTAGAATATTGCTTAAATAGTGAAAATAGGGGAGGTAAGTGTAATTTTTAAAAATTGAGAGGAGTTGTCTGCAATTGTTGAAACCCTCAGGGAAGGTATGTGAAATTGACCCAACCTTAAAACCTGGAACATAGAAACAGCTGGATCCTCGACGGTTTGTCTTCCTCTCCTACCATTCCCACTCTCACACATCGCGAAAGAACGCCACTCATTTCCCCAACTACCCTTCATAGTGGCGCCAAAATAGTAAAATATCAAGACCTACCAAAACCGCGAAGGCTACTCTTGTAAATTCATACTTGACAGTTACACAACCCTCGTCCCCCTAAAAGTTAAGTCCTACGTGGCAATGCAAGTTTAATAACGCAGCTCTTTCAAGATCCTCTACTGTCTCCTCCATCTTCCCCTATAAAAATTCCAATTGGAGAATAAATTAAATTCAAGGCTTGTTTTCCTCTCTGTTTTCTGGTTCATGAAGCTCATTAATGCAAATTTAGATGCTCTTATTTTCATCCGAAGCAAACCCACAATTTTCTTTTATTCTCTCTTCCAGTATCCACATTTTCTTTGCCTCTAATTTGGTGTAAACTCGAGGATTTGGATTCTTGAAACTCAATTTCTGTTTCTCTTATTTGGTTCCCCCCTTTCCTCGTTGCTTTCTCTGTAATGTAAGGAGCTATACATTTCTTTTGCCTAGAGGGTTGTGAAATTTGATTCTTGGCGTGACTTGATTCGAATTCTAAGAACAGGAGACCCAAGTTTTCTTTATATTGATCATTGTATAATCTTGATCATACTTTTCTGTAAGTGAAGGAGAAGGAAGAATACTAATTAAAAATGCTTGACGGATTGTTAAAAAGCAAGTTCTACTCAAAATGGTAAGCGCTTTCAACATTTTATTCTTTTGTCCACATTCGTATCTTATCTTATGATTTTGATAATGGTTTTTTTTTAAAATTATTTTCTGATTATTTGTCTTGGTTGTATTGAGCAGCAAGTCTGCAATCAAGATAACTAAGACTCGATTGGAAATGATTAAGAGGAAGAGAATTGCAATGCAGAAGTACTTGAAGAATGACGTGGTTGATCTTCTGAAAAATGGGTTGGATACCAATGCCTATGGCAGGGTAATATTTTCTTGTTCTCCAAAAGAAAATTTACTTTTCATGGAACTTTATAATTCAAAATTCTCGATAGAATTTTAAGCCAATGGATTTCTTTTTTCTTATCGGGGAAATGTAGATTTAAAATACATCCTCGGCTCTGGCTATGACCTGTTGTGCTAGTTCATCATCTGGGGTGGCCTAGAGTTTTTTGTACATGTTTGTCCATCGTGTTTGATGAGTGAAACTGTCTCTTGGGATGAGCCCATTTGGAGTCAGTAATTCTGTTTGTTACTGTGATGTACGGGTATAATACTATGGAGGAACAGAATCCTGGGAAGATAAATAAATATCTCCTTGAGAATCAAGATATCATGGAAATGAAGGAGATGACTGGGGTTTGTTATGGGAGTCGTCACGAAGAAATTTAGATTTCCTCGTGGAATTATGTTGAAAATAGAATTTATTTCTGATTTTTTAGATTCTATTATGTCATAATATCTCTGGGTTTTGAAGTGTCCTGTTTATTGTCCCTTCCCATCTTTCGATGATGCAATATACTAACAGTATTCGATATTGGGAGATACAGCCCCTGATCATCTTTCTCCTACTCCGGAAATTTTAATTGTCTGAACATATGGCACTTTCATGTACTTTCCCCTTGGAAATTATGCATTATGCTGCAGAGAATGGAAGATCACTGGAAACCCAAAAAAAAGGGGAAAAAAGTGAGATTTGATCCAGTTAAAAAAATATAAGAAAAAGCAGAAGAATTGCCTGCATATTGAGTTTAATAGGAAAGTACTGGTTGTGGTTTGACAGCAGAAAGCCGTATATACAAGTATAGACTGTGCAGGAACTGTAGGAGAGCCTTCCTCAGAAGTTTCACTATCCACATTCTTTTGGTTATATACGAACATTTATTGGTTCCATGCTACCATTCCTAACTTAATTTTTTGCGTTCCATTCTGAAATAGGTTGAAGGCCTCTGGAATGAGCTGAATTTGTCGAGCTGTTATGATTTGGTTGAGCAATATAGTACGATTGTGTCGAGTCATCTTGCCAATATGGATAAGCAGAGGTATGTATCCCATTACATCAGTTGTGTCCATTTCATCAGCCCTGTATTCAATTCGAGTTAAAACACCAAGAATCTCGTTTGAGAAGCTCTCTCTCTGCTTAGTTAAGCACATAGAGAATTAAAAGCGACATCTTAAGAAGAGAAAAAACACCAAGGTGTAAAGAAACTGTGCAAGTTTTAATGACACTTGAGCTCTTTTCCTTTAAATTTGCTACTGAGGTAAGTTTTGGCATTGATTTATTCCTTTCCAGGGAGTGCCCAGAAGAATGTAGGGAAGCTGCTTCATCTTTGATGTTTGCAGCAGCAAGATTTTCCGATCTTCCAGAATTGCGAGAGCTCAGAACTATATTTACTGAAAGATTTGGGAACTCAATCGAGTTATATGTCAATAAAGAGGTAGGTATCCTTTACCTGCTGTATTCAAGATAATAATACATGATATATGCATTCTTTGTATTGCAAATCTTTTTGAGTTGTATTTTTGCGGGCAACCGTATAGTCCATTCTTCGCATAATTTTTCAGTCAATAATTTCCATTTATTGGTGCGCAGTTTGTTCACAAGCTGAAGTCAACGCCTCCCACAAAGGATATGAAGCTTCAACTGATGCAGGACATAGCGTTAGAGTCTGGTATAGAATGGAACTCGAAGACTTTGGAACAGAAGCTATACAAAAGCCCTGCTGCCTCTGTACCAGTAAGCGATCTTTCAGATTAGAGAATATGTGCAAACAAAATAGCCATTCCACAAAGTACAGCAGTTCTGGAGTCTTTTTTTCCAGACTGAATTTTTTTATTCTGCTATCTATTTGCTTTCTTCAGCTTTCATCTGATGGACAATAATATGCTCTATATCTTGGCTCAGGACGGGAAGAATGGCAAGATTAACTCTCCAAAAAGGATTCATAATGCCAATAAGAAAATAGACAACGAAGATGTTGAAAATAAGCTTGAGGATCCGGAAATACATGCAGCTTATGAAAGGGAAGGGGGAAAAGATGTGAGAGACGAGAGACGAAGCCTAATTGATCCTTCTTCTGGAGAGGCGGAGGATATTATTCCCGTCAAAGACATCCAGGTGGATGATATTGGTCGGAAAGTGCAACCTGATGAACCACAGGCTACAAGTGCTTCAGTGGAAGAAAATGATGAGAAGCAGCCTTTCTATTACAAACCTATTCGCCCTCCTTACTCCAAATCCAAGATAAGCATAACTGATATTGCTGTAGATGTTCCTCCCACTGGAGCTGACAGCAAAGGACAAGAAGGAAAAGAAAGTAGTAGTCAGACCAGTAGGTCTGTTGACATTGGACAGGATGATCCAATTGGCAGTAGTAAGCCAAAACCAAAATCGGTGAGGAGGAGAAACATGAAAAATTTTCCACGTAAGGATGAGGCAGAGAATTCCGGAGGTGTTGGTTCAGAGACTCTGGGTTCAAAGGGCATAAATGACAGACAGCGTGATGAACGGGATGAAGAAGAAAAGGTGATGGACAGGCTTTTAATGCACTATAGTACAAAGAAATTCCCTCATGATACAGCTAAATCAGATGCAGTTCTCAAGTCTTCTTCTCAGCCAGATGACATTAAACCAGGCAGAGGATCTCTGGACAGAAGCAGAGATGGTCGTCCAACTAGAGCAGCATCTCTTCCTTCTGAAACAAGTCCGACCGAAGCTACAAAATTGCGTGCTCGAGCCTCTTCCTTTCAACCTGAAGTATTAAACTCAAGCGGGCATATTCACCCTAAGCTACCAGATTATGATGACTTTGTTGCCCGTCTTGCAGCACTTCGAGCAAATCGGAACTGATGACGCAGATTGAAACTAGAAATGTAAAATAGGATATACAAGTAGTTGAAATGAACCATATACACGGTGGATGGAAGGGAAGGCTAGTGTGCATCCTTTGTTGAAGATGAAGTTTCGGTCCAGCTTGGTGTTAGCCGGACACTGCCTGGATCACTTTAGCAGAATTTATAGGCTCACTATATTCTTCTATTAGTTATTGAATTGCCATATTCTCTAGTCCATCAGGACATGATAGAAATACATCCTCTGTAATCTGCCCACATGGTAACTTACGTTTAGCTTGAAATAACAATGCCTGCAAATATTTAGCAGAATTAACTGTAGAGATGACAGAGCTTTACTCTTCGTATCGACTAATCACTATCCAGTTCCGCTACCTAGAATTGGAATATGCGTCATCAAGACCGTGTTATAAATTTTTCCACAGATTATACAGTGCTCCCTGAACAATGCTTGCGGTTACAAAACGTTCATGCCTAAGAGACTATTACTATTTTAGCTACTACAATCAAAGGGCCTCCACCTGCCAGAGGAATAAGTAAGGTGCACCAACAATTCATTAGCACAGATAGCCCAAGAGCGACACAGCTCTTCATGACGGACTACTATATTGCGTACTGAAGCTTTTTTATCAAAGCCAAATGCATGGACTAGTTTAGCTTCTTTCATTCTTTCTTTCTACTTTAGTATTCAGGAACATTCTTCAATCTCATTTTGCTCCAAAATAACAGTTAAATATCTGGATCAGAGTTCAGGATCTGCGTCTAATAGTAGTAGTTGTGATCTACTCACTTGACCATCTATAAAATACCAGAACCTGATGACAAACACTTCTATAGCTTGGCGGCATTCCACTGATGGCAATATGTAATCAAAGGCTTTGTCCAGTACGAAAATTTCCAATATCCACCAGTAAACAAGAGAAGCATGAGAATAAAAGAAAAGAAAAGAAAAGAAAAGAATTATACTTTGATAGAAGTAGATGATACAATAACAGACTCATCTGATTTTCCAGTGAAAAATTAGCATACAGTTGTGTACGAAGTTCCATTAGCTCGCCAGAAGCAAGTTTGTAAATAAAGCATCAACCACATCTAACTAGGCACGAATGTTCTGCAAAACAAGTCCTGAAATTCATCAAACAGACAGCTCTGCCCTGGAAATCAGAATCCCATCAGTATCTGCATAAAGCCACTCCCCATCACAAATCCGTGTCCCACCAATGGTTATAGGAACATGCTTCTCTCCAATCCCCTTCTTATTAGCTTTCATTGGATGTGAAGCCAGAGCTCTTACCCCAATATCACAACCATTAATTTCATCAACATCTCTTATACAGCCATTCACCACTATACCTGCCCAGCCATTGTTTTGAGCTTGCACCACAGGGTTACCACCCAATATTGCACATCTCAAACTGCCACCCCCATCAACAACCAGAACTCTGCCATTACCTTTCTCCTCTAGAAATTCGCGCACCAGAACATTATCCTCAAATACTTTCAGTGTTACAATGGGCCCAGAGAACACTTGGCGCCTCCCATAAATCTGAAAGATTGGCTGGAGTGCCCGGAGCTCACCACTGACGATAAGCTGTGGGTTTGCATCACAAACTTCAGCAGTTGTAACAAGTGCCATTTTGTTCCAAGCACCTGCAAGCATAGTCCATCCGGTGTTTTAGATTAGAAAGAAAACAAATAAATTAAAATTCTCCTCACTGCTGTACATCCAACATTAGGTACATCAACATGAACTTACTCAACAAGAGAGGGGGGGGGGGAATGAAAAAATGAAAAACAGCAGCAACTATGTTCAAAAGCCTAATGCAGTTCCAAGTTACTTCTCTCATCCTCTTGAACATTTAACGTTTCCACATTAAGCAAAATCTAAATCTAATTTCTGATCTGTTAAACATGATAGTCCAACTCGGCAAACTGTATAGTTACGCAAAAGATGGTGCCCCACCATGACATTCCTGAAAAATGTCTTAAGCTAGCTTTGTCTAGTTCCTGTTAATTCTTATTAGATTTAGGTCCATTAAAGATGGATAGATTTAAGACCACAACGATATAATAGTATCAACCATACAGCCAAAGAACATGGTTAGAGACAAGACTGAAGTGATATCATGATCAGCTTTTTTTTTTTGGGTGATATCATGGGCAGTTTTATCTTCCTTTATTCGACTTTTTAGAAATCACCAAAGCACATCCCACGTTTCTTCAAACCCAAGTGATGTCCTATGAATAACTTCACCTCATTACACTGATTGATCCCTTTCTCTCCAGGCTTATTTAAGATCTCTTATTTAAGATCACCCATCAAAACTTTGATATGCTCTATTACCATGTTTTCTGACCATCCCACGTTCGTGACTTTAACTAAATTCAAAAAACCCCAATAATTAACCAACTAGAAATTAGATGGAAAGGAACAATCTTTCAAGGAGAACGAAATATCATCAAAGCTCACAACCTCAAATGAAGGGAAAGAAAAACGCAACCTTTATCCAAAAACCAGACAGCGTGTAGAAGCCAAAAGAATTTATATCAGATCCAGAATCAAATATTACCTTAAGAACTAATTCAACAGCTGTTAATCATAACCCTTTTCCAATACAACTAATGATTACGTTTGAAATCATGGGAAAAATAATCAGACTTGAACACATATAACGGGCAAAATATGAATCAGATTGTATTTACCTTGAAGGGAATGGGAGAAAGAATGCAGAGTATAGAGAGAGAAGGATGGGATAGCAGAGAATCAAGTGAGGTGAGAGAATATTTCCTAAGATCATTTGTGGACATGATCAGGGGACTCTAATTATTGTGAATTTGTGATGTCAAATGAAAACCCGCTTGAAACAGTGCGACGTAAGGGACTGTTTGGCAACTGCGTTATTTAATCATGGATGGGTTAATAAAGTTTCAGGCCCTGTTTGGATCTGCACCTTTTCGTAAGAAAAAAATTAAATAAAGAAAAAACTATTTTCATGCCATTTCATGACTGAAGATTGGTCTTTTGAGTTTTTGGACGATTGCTTCATACAATGAAAACACATTTGTATAGAGTTTGATCAAAATTAAGGATTTAATCAGTTAAAAATATAAATTTTAAAAGAGCTAAACTTTTTCTATGCTGTACTAAATTCGTAAGATTTTGTTTTCATATCCTTGTGTATGAGTTCAGTAATAATACATTATTTAGATGTGTAATTTGCACTCATAAATTTGTCAAATAATAGTACAAAGCTTTAGAAGAAATAAATTTTCAAATACTCATTTATTTTTGAGTTCTAGATTGACGAGAAATATATATATGCATGTGCCAATATACATGTGTGTGCACCATAAGAATTAAAAAGAGAATGACTAACGTAAACACATAAAAAATTATTTCCTTTTATTTTCTTCTGAAAATGAAAATCTGTTAGTTAAATTGAAATTTTCTTCTATCCATTTTTTTTCGATTTGTTTCGATAGTGAATTATTTATCAAAATTTATTTATTTGTATCATCGACTTATTTTTCAATTGCTGTTTTATCTCACACGAATTTGCTGTCCTCCTAAATTTACCTTGAACAAACACATCGTAAGCCCAAGCCCACACCCAACCCCAGCCCGTGGTGGAAAAAAAAAAGTATTAGGAAAAAAGGAAAAGGAAAATGGTACCTATATTGGCACCAGTACGAGGACACTGGCGGCAGTCAACACTTCAGAAGTCGTGACAACCTGACTCTTGATATGGAAGGCGAAGACTCGTTGCGGCCACCGCCGGATTTTCGTGGCACATCGGAGTCGGAGGAGCAAGTCATGAGCGAAGTTCACCTGGGATGTCCTCCCGGCCATTCTGGCCCCCATATCTCCCACTTTATCATCTCTCTTCCGCCTTCAGTTAGAGGTAGGCCACTCTTCTATGGATTATCAATTACATAGTAGTATTTGACCTTATAATACATGAGAAATTGTTTGTTTTTGGTATCACAAGCAAAAACTCAGGAAAAGAATTGAAAACAAATTGAAACTTGTTAAATGATCATAATGATTTCCACTGAGTTTCTGTGATTGATCATTGATAATAATTCCATGACCGCAATTTTGGCAGTGGATAGTTTCTGATTAACTGCAACTGCATTCTCTTGTCAAGTTTGTGGACTGTCGGGAGTAGTATGATTTGCTTCATGCGACTCTCGCGTGGGTTATTTTCTGTGATACAGAAATTTCATGTCATACAATGTCTTCTGCTGATTTTTTTTTTTTTTTGGAACTCTAATGTCAAGGCGGAGATGAACCCATTGAGGATGATTATAGTGGTGAAAAGTTGAGTTTAGCGCGCAAAGAGCATGACTTGGATGGAGATGGTGATCTTATCCTAAAACGACGCACTAGTAAGTTGCCATATTTACAATACGGATTTTGTTTGACTTGTGCTCTCTTACATTTAAGGGCACTTGCAGGACAGGACCATATAGGGTCAATGTAACTTGTATAAATTAGCGTCGCGTTTCCAATTTTCATCCATGCCTAAACCAACATAGAAGATTATGAATTTTTTACTTTAGCTTAATTTCAATTTAGAAGAATGTGTTGGTCGTTTCAATGTTAGGTGAGCTTTTTTCATACATTGATTTCTTTCTAATATGAAGGACATTAAAACTTTGAGGTTTCCCTTCTCACTATGCTGGTAAAAAGTTTGTTTGCCCAATTTAAATGTATATTTGTGACGCATATTTCATTTACTTGCAGAACCACTGAGGGATTATCTTGTAGTTGCCATCAGGCATAACATTACTTCATCAATTCCAAGAGTTGGTCTGCAGGTATATATGTTTCACAGGTTACCTCTCTCCTCCTTTGTTCCATTCAGTTTTCTCTAAGTCCAGATAGGTTTTTCACAGCATAAAGCTAAGTTTCTTTAGCTTTCAACAGACTGAAAGGATCAATCATCTTGTGGCAAGATCTTTTCCAATTATTACAATTGTTTTTGGTGAGCTCCGTGTAATGCTCTCAACTCTTGTTCTTCAATTCTTGTGCTTGTCCTACCAGGTGTGGAAAGCAGAACTATTGTTGGCTGACTTTGTCTTGCACAAGATGTTCACGTCAAAAGAGCTTGATGGAATTGTTGCAGTAGAACTTGGTGCTGGTACAGGTAGAATTGATTCTTGTTTGCTCTATCACTAATGCTGAAAATGTTTCATTTAGATGCCCCTAAGTAAGGATGAAACATTTAGTACTCGGCTGAACTTGGGATAGCAATCAAATGTTTCTGAGACAAATGGCATCATGATGATCTCAATTTCACTTGGCCTCT